GAAAATCAGGGAGAGCTAGAGGAGCTGAGCCTGCAAATGTATGGAAATTATTAATAATAGTATTTTAATGATTCATCTATATTGAAAGCTGACAACAGTCTCCGTGCCGAGCTAAGAGCTTTTATATTAAGTATAATAACATTTATATTTAGAATAATCTGATCCCCCCCAGGGTGAGATTCAGCTTTCAGAGGGGGCCAGGAGGATGGTTACCTGCCTGTATGATCAGTGACTCCCCTCACTGAGCATCGGCCTGTCCCTTGCCTCTACCTCCATTCTGTAGCAGGAGAACTAGGAGTATGGGGTGACCATTGACTGCTTCCTGTGACTCCACCCCAGGCTGCAGCCACCCTGCTCCTTTCTCCTGGATAAAAACAGATTGAGGCCTTTCTACTTCAGGTTTAAGATCTTATGAAAACCTTGGAAAGCTGAGATTGTTCTCTCTTGGGGACTGGCCTCCTGTCCTCAGCATAAAGCTAGTGGCCCTAGAGGGCATGACAAAGGCTTCTCAGAAGTGCCTGCCTGGCTCAGCTGCCCCAGCCTTCTTAGAAGTCACCAGGCCCTTTGACTAATGCCAGACCCTTTGGAAAGAAACAGAGGCTCTGAGATGGTGCGGTGTGTATACGGCCACCTAACACAGAGTGTACTGCCAGAGCTGATGCTGGCCAGGTGTGGGCCCTGTTGGGGCCACTGCCCACCCTAGGTGGGCCTGAATCTCACCCCTGGTGCTGAGTACAAGCTAAGCATTTTTTGTTTTTTGATTTGGGGGCTTTTGTTTTGTTTTGTTAAGACAGGGTCTCTGTAGCCCCAGTTGGAGTGGAACTCACTATGTGGACCAGGCTAGCCTCGATCTCACAGAGATCCACCTTCCTCTGCTTCCTGAGTGCTGGGATTAAAGGTGAGTATCACCGTGCCTGGCCCATAAACTAAGCATTTTACAGGTATTGAATCTTCATAACCATCCAATGGTTTGCCAATGTCATTTCTCTACTTTACAGAAGAATAACCTGAATCATGGAGAAACAACAAAGGATCCAGGGCCAAGATCAGGGGAAGCATGGGGGATGGCTGCCATGGGTGCAAAAGTTTAGAGGAGGCAAAAAAATTCCTTAGGACTGAGCTATTACAATATTTTCATATCATTTTAAAAATCAATGTAGAGACTGGGGTGATAACTCATCAGTTAAAGGGCTTGTCATGCAAGTATGAGACTCTGAGTTCAATCCTTAGAACCCACATTGAAAAAAGAGGGGGTGAACACTTGCAATCTCAGTGATGGGGAGGTGGCTGATCCTGAGTCTCAAAAGCTGGCCAGGCTAGCCTACTTGGTGAGCTCTGAGCCAATGAGATACCCTGTTCCCAAAACAAGGTGGATGGTGCCTGAGAAGTGAGACCTGAGACTGTCCTCTGACTACACACACACACACACACACACACGCACATGCATGCAAACAAGGGACCAGTGAGATGGCTCAGTGAGTAAAGGTGCTTGCCTTGCAAGCCTACAAAGTTGTCCTCTGACTTCCACACATGTGCTGTGACAAGCCACCCCCAACTCATAACGAATATAAATTTTTTTTCTTTGGTCCTTTTTTGAGACAGGGTTTCCCTGTAGCCCCAGCTGGCCTGGAACTCACTATGTAGACCAGGCTGGCCTTGAACTCACAGAGATCCGCCTTGAGTGCTAGGATTAAAGGCGTGCGCCACCACTCCCGGCGTGAATATAAATTTTTAAAAAAGAAGCCACAGGGGATGGGGCCACTGTCTGACTATGGGTCTAAGTGAAGCTTGGAGCTCACACTGTGCAGAGCACTGGAGAATGGCAGGTAGGTCAGCCAGGCCTCTGGCCTCCTCCACATTGAAACATAACTACAGATTTGGGCCCTTTAGCAAAGACACACTTCCACAGCCCTGCTTATGTACAGGAGCGCCACATAGCCAGGGCCTTGCACAGAAGTGTGAGTGAGTCCACACGGGGACGCGTTTGCCTTTGTCTTCAGTGTTCCCTTCCCTGTCTCTCCAGTCAAACCTGAGCATGGCATTGGCCACACAAATGATGAGGAAGAGCCTAAGGATGGGAGAAGCCCAGGCACTGCCTGAATGGCTGAGACAGCGGCCTTTCCCTGCTGCCCCACCTGCCAACCTCCCTCCAGAGAGCAGACCCTTAGCCTCTCAGGTATAAAAATCCTGGAGAACAAACTGCTTTGGAATCAGATGGTTTCCTGATGATTTGCTGTGTGATCTCTGGCAAGTGACCCTACCTCTCCGAGTCTGTTCCACATCTAGAAAGGGATTTATGGGGCTGGAGAGATAGCTTAGCAGTTAAACGCACTGGCTGCACCTCCAGAGGACCTGGATTCAGTTCTCAGGACCCACATATAGGTTAACAACCATCCATAGTTCCAGTTCCAGGAGATCTGACACCCTCTTTTTGACTTCCTCAGGCATTACATGCATTGGTGCATTTATATACATACATACATACATACATACATACATACATACACACATAAATTTTTTTAAGGGATGCATGGTCCTTCCACTCCGTTGTACCTGAAAGATCCAGTGAGAAGATGCAGGTCAAAGAGTAGCATGTGCTTGGTGCATAGTAGGTCTTCAGCAAAGGTCAGGTGCCTTTCCCTCCCCCGACTCCCAGCAGCCTTTGCTGCTGAGCTGCTGGCTGAACATGATGCAAGCTGAAGCTTTTCTTTTGAGTAAGCGACAGGTTCAGAGAGGCGGAACAGACAAGTACTGAGTTCAGAGTGCAGGCTTCTCTGGAACCAGATTCCCAGAGCTTATTTCAGAGGTCAGGGGATTTAACTGGTCATTGGGCTCTGGGGCCAGCCTCAGTCTCTCCATGAGGGCAATCTAAAACCTCATTCCAAAGCTCAGGCCTGAGCTAAGACATTTACAGGGAAAGTCTTCCTCTGCTGCAGCCCCAGCCTCTGGCTGTTAACCTCATTCTAGGACAGGAACTGTGGGAGCATGAAGGAGGGATGAGGGAGGAGGGGTGGAGGAGGAGCAGGGAGGAGGGGAGAGGCCTGAGCTTGCCTGTTCTGCATTATGCAATGGGAGTATTCGTTCCTTCTTTCAGAGGTCAGAACTGGAAGGACTGTTCTCTGGGCATCTAGCCCAGCTGGGCTCTGCCTACCACCTGTTTGCAGATGGTCTTTGTGGGGACATGGCTTACCTGAAGTCCCACATGGAGAAGCAGGTGGTGGCAATGAGCCAGGTTCTAACAGGACAGAACTGGGAGAGTACCTTCCAATGCACCAGGGCTTTCAGTTAAATTCTTTTAAACTTAGTTTTACTTTATGTGTATGGGTGTTTTGCCTGCGTGTATGTAGGTGCACACATACATGCAATGCCCAGAGAGGCCAGGAAAGGGTGTTGGATCCTCTGGAACTAGAATTAAAGATGGTTGTTAGCCACCATGTAGGTGCTGGGGACCAACATGTGGGTACTGGAAACTGAACCCAGGGCCTCTGCAAGTGCAGCCAGTACTCTTAACCACTGAGCCATCTCTCCAGTCCCAACCAGTGCTTTCTTATTCAGTTCTCCCTATGGGGCAGGAGAGACAATGACAGCTGTACCAGGAAGTATCACTTCCATGTCTCAGTCTACAAAAGAGAGGACCTAGAAAGTGCCCAAGAGACTTATGCCACACTCAGACCTATAGCACGTATAGCCAAGGACTTAAGAGAAGTTGGATCCAGATAGGCAGAGGCAGGGCACTCTCCCCACATCCCAACACGGTCTCACCCACTTTGCTTATGAGTGTCACTGTAGGGGTTGTGACCTCACTGGGTTTCTAGCCCCGTGGGCATGGTCCTCCTTCTGCTCTCTGACCTCTGTAAGCCTCACACTCTTCTGTGCTCTCGGGCACCTACAGCTCAGAAAACACCTTTCTCCTAGATGCAAAGTCCCATCCCCACCCATGCAGGGGTCAGGGTCCAGAAGCCACCTGCATGTCAGCTGTGCTTCTCAGGCAGGAGGCTGAACTCTGCTCAGCTCATCACAGAACACAGTGCCATGAGGAGGCATCTAGTGCAGGTGGCCAGGAAGGTGCTTAGGTGGGGCGGCAGCAGCCACCTCCTTGTCCTTCCCTCTGTCCAAGGAGGGGAACTTGGACATATGAAGCACATGTGGGGGTCCCTTGGGGCCTGGCATCCCTGTTTACTGAGGGTCATTCAAAAAACTGTGTTAGCACGCACAGATAAACACGCCTCAAAGTTGGGTTTTTTAAATTTTTGATCTTTTTGAGACAGGGTCTCCCTGTAGCCCCACCTGTCCTGGAACTCACTATGTAGACCAGGCTGGCCTTGAACTCACGGAAATACCCCTGCCTCTGCCTCCTGAGTGCTGGGATTAAAGGTGTGTGCCACTATGCCCAGCCAAGGTTGGGCTTTTATAAGTGAGGCTTCCCAGCATCCCATGGGGACTGCCCTTCAGTGGTGAGTGGTATATATTCCAAGCCTTGGAGGGTGACATGTAGCACTGTTGCTGCCACACAGCAGAGGCCAGGAACAACCCCATCTTTTTCATTTAGAGACAGTGGTCTCACATTACCAGGCAGGACTTGAACCCGTGAACTCCAGCGATCTTCCTGCTTCAGCCTCTCAAGTAGCCAGGACAACAGGCACATACCACAGTGCCAGACTCCCCAACTAGTCTTGATAATAATCGTTTCCGACATTGCTCATCATCATTCATTATCCCCTGGAGACATCACTGCTCTAAAGGACAGAGACCTCACAAGGGGACTTGATAAGCTAAGGACTATACTGTCTCCAGTCACCACTCAGGATGTGCAGTCCAGCAGGCCCAGGACTGGGGCAGGCACCACTTTCTTAGTGGAGTTAATCCCCCGACATTTGTACTTGAACACAGAGATGCTTATGCAGGGTGAGGGCTCTGGGAGAATGTGCTGGGGAGGCCAGCTTCAGCTCGGGGAGAGACCCCCTCCCGTGGAAATACAGGAAATACGTCAAAGGCACAGCTGCTAACAAACCCACTTTAATTGATAGTGCACACAAAGATCCGGGCAATGGGGGGTGACTGGATGGTAGCAGGCCACACGCCTATCTGGACAAGTACCTGGTGTGCTCTGAGGGTTGGTGCTGGGGAAGTAGGGCAGCTAGGGGACAGAAGCGGGTGATGGAGCAGCTGTGCTGAGCAGCAGGTGTTGAGGTGCGGACACAGGCGGGGCCAGGTCTTGACTGCAGTGTGCAGAGCTGGAACAGAGGTTTGTCTGGGAGTTCAGGATGATGTACACGGCATCCACAGGAACCCTCAGTAACAGCTCTGGGGGACCTGTGGGTAACACAGGCCAAAGCCCTGCAAGTCCCCAGACCTGGAAGCATCTCCAAGAGGGGGCACAGCATGGTATGTGTGGAAGGCCCAGGGCGGCCCTGCTTGCAGTATGACCTGGGGCTAATCACTCACCCTCTCTGGGCCTTTAGGAAATGCACTAGAGGATTACTATGGTTTCTTGTGACCCTTAGCATTGTTACTTTTTGTGTATGCATGAGTGCATGTATGTGCGCATACCACGGTGCACATGTGGAGGTCAGAATATAATTTATGGAAGTTAGTTCTCTCCTTCCACTTTGTGGGTCCTAGGACTCGAACTTGGGTGGAAAGGCTTGACAGCAGGCACCTTTAGTTACTGAGCCATCCCACCAGCCCAGATCAGTACTTTTTTTTTTTTTTTAAGGGAACAAAAGCACAAATGTATTTAAGAGCTGATGACAAGGGCCTTTGGTTTTCAGGATCACAGCCCCTTCCCCAAGCTGGGGTGAGAGGTACTCAGCACACCGAGCACTAGAAAAAGTCCCCCATGAGTCTTCCTGCCAACCTCTTCAGGGCTCAGCTCTGGCTCCCAGCTGCTCCTCCTCCAACAGCTGTGTACACAGATGGCAGTGGGGTACCCTGGGGTGGACAGTCATAGCTGGGGACATATGGGTCCTTTGCCTTCTTTGTTGCCCAGTATACAGGGGATCCAGCACTCAGGTGTTCAGTTGATGCTTGAGAAACACCAAGAAGGGGGCTCTATACAGAGCTCTGTCCTGAACTAGCTAGGGGGTGGGTAGGACTTGGGGAGTCATCCCTCCCAGCCCCAATTCTCCCCTCTTGGGAGTAGGAGAGGTGGCCTACCTGCCCACACTGTGCCAGTGTTTGCACGGCCCTATGTAGGGGCAGGCAGGAAGGGGGCCCCACCTGGAGCAGTGATCTCACCTGGGGAGCCTGGCCAACGATGGGTCACTGAACTCCTACAATACAAGGACTTCCTGTCTACTGCGAACATGACAGCAGCTTCAAAATAAGTGCCGTCACATGGAGGTGCCAGGGAGCAGGGCAGGGATAGAGTGGTCTGAGGGGCATGGCCACCCCAAACCACCCACACACACACACACACACACACACACACCACTGGCTCGATGTCTGGGCAGCAGGGGCCAAGTTAGAGGGTGGATGCACACAGCTGGGTGGGAGGGCAGGTGCTGAAGGCCCAGGAAGGGGGTCCCCCGCAGCATGGAGACCAAGCTGGTCCACGCTGAGGGAGCAGAGGCCGCCAAGTGCATCTGGCCGGGGCATCTGGCTCGAGTGTTTTCATCCTGTGACATGCCCAGGCAGCTCTGTTTGATGCAGGACTCCTGGCCTCTCTCTGGCATCCAAGTTCCTTCCACCCCAAGGACAGGGAAAGCTCTAACTAGGGTCTCTGATGTGAGTGTTGACACATCCCCAGCCTCTCCCCAGTCCTCCCACAAAGGAGCCACGTACACGAGGGAAGCAGCAAGGAGGCAGGATAACTAACAGGCAGGGCTTTGGGTCTCAGGGCCCTGTGGAATGCACGCAGCGGGCATCCACAGCCACCTCCCTTAAGGCACTGCCCGGGCCCCCTCCCCGACGTCCCTGCCCCTCACTGGATGCTGCATTTGTCCCTCTCTCGGGCCTGGCCCTCCCGGAGGACCTTGGCCTTGATGTACTTGAGGTCACTGTTGACGCTGGGACGGCGCGCAAAGGGCGAGACCATGCCGTAGGCACCTGAGTCCTTGGTGCGACGCATGCAGAAGGGTCGGGGGTGGAAGGCGTCACCGTACTGCACGGAGATCTTGCGGTGCAGTGCAGGGCTCATCTCGTGGGGCAGCTTGGCCATGCTGAACAGTACATAGAACATCTCATCCACGTTCGTGTTCTTCTTTGCTGACACCTCGAAGTAGGCACAGTTCTCATCCCCCGACACCAGCAGCTCCGCCTCAGTGGTGGGGACCTGGCGGCACAGCTCACTATGGTCGTTCTTGTTGCCACAGATTACCATGGGCAGCTCTGCCGCCTCCTTGGTCTTGTTCTTCAGGCAGGACTTGACCTCCAGGATCTGCTTTTGGAGACGCTTCACCTCGTCAAAGGACTCCCGGTTATCCAGGCTGAACACCAGGATGAAGACATCTCCTGGGGAGAGCAAGGCAGTCAGTGAGTGCCCCATGCAGATCCTGCGCCACCGAGCATGGTTTCCACCAGCTGCCACTTAGGAACCCAGCTAGCCCTGACTGGGCAACTCTTCAGAACGACTGTCAATGTCCCCACTTGCCAGAGTGGGAAGCTGAGGCTCAGAGAGACTAAATGTTTTAGTCAGAGGTTACACACAGCCGGGCCAGATAGGTCATTTCCCCTCGGGCTTCCTTGCAGGACTGGAGAAGGTCCAGTCAGCCCTATAGACTTGCACAGCTGATGTTAAAATGACTCTTATAGAGCGGGGCATGGTGGCACATGCCTTTAGTCCCAGCACTTGGGAGGCAGAGGCAGGAGGATTTCTGTGAGATTGAGACCAACCGGTTTCAACTGTGAGTTCCAGTCCAGAGAGCTACAGGGAGACCCTGCCTCAAAAAGACCAAAAATAAAAAATAAAAAATGAGTAGCTTTCAGAATTCTTGTGAACATGGGGGTAGAGCTGGTCTTGCTTAGTGCACATTCCCAGTCTGCACCAGCATCTCACCCCACAGTGGGAACTCAGCACACACTAGTGGCTCATGTTAGAGGATGCCTGTATCAACTGGGCCTGAGTTTGTGTCTTACCTTGACTTTGCAGCTGTGTGACCTTGAGGGAACTGGGGGTTATGCAAGCCCTGCACTCATCAACTTTCCCTCTTGCATCATGTGAATGAAGTCGCCTTGCAGGAGGGTGATTAGAGATAATGCACGCAGGGTGGCATGTGCTCTGCCATGTCAGACATCAATAATGCTCACAAGAACAGGCACCTGCTGGGAACAGGGCATTGAGCACACCTGCTGTCTCCTCAGTACCTCCTAACTCCACGGGGAGGATTTTATTACTTTCCTATTATAGATGAGCCGATTAAGGCTCAGAAAAGGGCAAGCAACCTGCCCAAGGTCACCCAGCTCAGAGCCAAGCCAAGACTCAACCTCATTTGGGCCTCACCTGGTCCATGCCTGGCACACAGGATATGCTGTTTCTAGAGCAAATCATGGGGTAAGTACAGGATCATGGCCTGTCATGCCCACACAACATCCACTGTAACCCACTGAGGGGGCCCTGAGTCTGACATACCTGGAAGGGTGGCAGGTATAGAAGCCTGTCTCTACCCCCATTTCCAGGTCAGTTACCACAGGGGTGGGAAGCTCAACCTCTAAGCCCCTCCCCCTTGCCTTTCCCTCAACTCTTAATCCCTACGTGCAGGTCTGAGAACACAGACTTATGGGTAGGGAGCAGGCCATGGGGTCCAGCCAGGGATCCCAGCTTCTGGCAGGATGGCTATTTCCTCTCTTCCTCTCTCTAGACTTCAGAACGATGCTGTTGATCCCCCACAGTGGTACACACCCAGGGTGAGCTGGGGACAGGGCTCAGGAGCACAGTATCCTTCCCAGTCCATCACGTGTCCCCTGGGGCCTTTCACATACTGGTCTTCAGTGAGGTTGGTGAGGGGCTGGGACAGTGGGAATGACACAGGGCTGTTTGAAAGGCACCATCAAGACCAACTCTGCCTGCCAACCACTCCTGCTCTGGCTGCCAAACCTCGTTCTGTCCCGTTAGGCTAATCCCAGCCCCTAAGGACTTACAGCCTCCAAGTGTTCAAATTTGAGACTGCAGATACCAGGCAAGTAGAGCCTGCCCGGCTGGCCAGCAGCTGCAGGGAGAGCTGGCAGGAATACGTGGCTCCAAGCATTTCCTGAGCCCAGCACCAGACTGGAAGATGAGGCCTGGCCTGGGCTGGGGATAGCGCAGAGCCACAGACAGATGTGCTCAGAATGGCAGTGTGAGGAAAACAGACAAAAGTGCACACCTTTGTGGGATATGGAATGAATGTCAATGTGCTAGTACTGGCTGGGGATGCGGTGGCCACTGCTACGGGGACAAAAGGGACTGGAATAAGAGGCATGATCCCAAGGCTGAGGCCTAATGACCAGCATCTGAGAGAAGGTATGTCCACATATTACCGGAATAATTGAAACGTAGCACTGAAATTCACATACTTCTCTCAGTGGACATCCAGTCTCCTCCCAGACAGGAGCTGCCAGCTATGTGACCCCCGACATGAGCAGGGAGACACCCACAAACTTTCCTGTCCTCACAGCCACCCAGGGAACAAAGTCATACCAACACTGACAAGTGACACCACTCAGCTACAGAGACAGGGCTAGGACTGGAACTCAGACCCACTCTGAATTCCTCTCTGGTGGGGACCCTGAGAGCAGCCTGGGTCAGAGAGAGTGGCCTGAGGAGGAAACCCCGTGGTTGAGGGGAGCCTACTGTAAACCTATCTCAGTCCAAGTGTGGCAAGAAGGGTGGGCATGGCGTGGGGTTCTTGCTGTGGAAGTGTCTCGATGTGGAGATAGGGTTTTTTCACTGTTATTGTGTGTGTGTGCACGCGCGCATGTGTGCTCACACGCGTGCACACATGCGCCAGTGAGAGGCCATCCTCTGGTGCTGTTCCTCAGCCACCATCCACCTTGTTTTTTGAGACAGTCTCTCGCTGACTGGGAGCTTGTCGATTAGACTGGGCTGGCTGACCAGCAAGCCCCAAGGATTCCCGTCTCTGCCTCCCCAGTGCTAGGATTACAGGCACACGCCATTACATCTGGTTTTTTGTGGGGATGTCAGAACTCAAACTCAGATTCTCATACTTATATAGCATGCACTTTCCCGACTGAGTCATCTCTTGGGGGCTGTTCTCCTGATGGCTACAGTCTTTCCCTTATCTCTTTTTAGCGATGAGAGGGACATGGCTATAGCCCACAGTGGGCACACTAGAGACCGGCTCAGTGGAAGACCAGTGTTTACAAGGCACTCACTTTCGGCTGAGGAAGCCCTTTGATTTTAGTGCAGCTCACACAGACATAAAGTCACTCACCTCCCGGGTTTGCCAAAACCAGGAGGCAGCAGAACCTGCATCCGGCTGGCCCCAGGGAGCAGGACTTGGGAGCCTGCCCTCTTAGCTGTCACACTGACTGGTCTCAAGGAATAAAATGACAGCCAGCACCAGATCACCAGGAGGCCCCTGATGACCCACAATCCTGTCCTCCTCCACACACTGTGGAGGTCACAGGGTGGGCAGCTCAGTAGCAATCATCTGGAGGAAGTTACTTACTTGATCCTTCTGCTTCAGTTTCCCCTGAAGCAGACAAACACCTATCTCCTAGGCGAGTTGTGAAGGTTAAACAAACACATGCCAAACTCTAAGTGAGGGACCTTGGAAAGTGTCAGCCATTGCTGTTCCTGATCTAGAAGCTGTGAGCCAAGGAGCAATTGCCCTGAATACGCGCTCCTCCCGTCTCGGGTGGACAGGAGTGCAGGTCAGCTGTCCTGTCCCTGTCATTGCCTCTCCCACAGCTTGTGACTCACCTGTGAGGATGGACAGCCGGCGCATGGCAGGGAACGGGTGGTTGCCAGAGGTGTCCAGGATGTCCAGCTGGTACATGTCCCCACGGATGTTGTATACCTTGCGGTGGAAGTCCTCAATGGTGGGCGTGTACTGGTCTTCGAAGCGGCCATTGAGAAAGCGAGAGACGATGGAGCTCTTGCCCACTCGGGAGGCACCCAGCACCACCATGCGGTAGGAGTTCTTGGCAGGCACGCTGAGCGTGCAGTTCCCGGTGGACAAGGTCTTCATCATGGCTCGGGGCTGTGACAGAAGTGAGGGGAGCAGCGTCAGGGGACCCCTTGCCTCTGCCTTCCCTCTGCCTGTGGCCCTAAGTCTTGGCTTCCTGGCTGAGATTCTTTAGGGACCTTAGAGTTGGAGTCACTCCCTCTCTCATTCACTCATTCAATTACAGCCTCCGACTTTTTCCCTTCTTGATCACTGGTTTGCTTACCTGTCCTTACTTGAGCACAGGACAAACTGTGGGGTTACAATCATGCTTTATGAGGACTGCTCACCTGGGGCAGGGAGCTTCACCTCTGAGCGCTATTCCCCAGCTCCTCAGGGGTCCTCAGCTGAAATTGCTAAAGTGATAACTGCCACTAGGGGGCAGCCTTCCCTTGGAGTGCACACTCCCCACCCCTCATCTGCCCTGGAGCCAGAGTCTGGAACAGGCTCAGTTCTCAGTCTGCATTTCTTAAACCCAAGGGTGCCATGGCTCTGCAGCCCTCCTAGGAAGGAGGGAAGGGCCTACCTAGTCCAGGCCACCTCCCTGCCAAGGCCTCAGCTGCCTCCCAGAATCCACCCTGGACCCAAAGTTTGCCTCAGGACACCAGTTGCGTGTGCTCTGCTCAGGAACTTTTTCCTTCCTGCAAACTGAGCTTAAGGTGGTGGTGGGAGAGGCGGGGGGGGGGCGATGGGGGAGTTAGCTCAAGTTTCTTCATGACGTCAAGGGCTGAGGTTCTGAGGAAAACCTAGAACTTTCTATAGGAGCCTGTAGCCTCATAGAGAGGTAAAGCAGACCCAGGCTCCAGATGCTCAGCGGAGATATGCAAATTGCCCCTATAGGCTCCTACAGGCTTACCAGAAGGCTGTTCTCAGCCTCTGCTATCTAGGCACCCTAGGGTCCCCAGGACTAGGTCAGCCTGAGCTCTGTTTCCACGCCTGTGCTCCTGACAGCCCTCCCTAGAACACCCCCACTTCCTTCTCACTACAAGGGTTGGCCCAAATACCACCATCTAAAGATGTCCCTGATCCTTTCTTCCCAGTGAGGCCCCTACCCTCACCCCACACACATACACAGGAGAGCCTGCTAACCCCAGAACTGAAATGGATACAGGCCTGCTGAAACACTGGTGCCCATGGCTGGCCACTGCAAGCTGTGCAGGCTGGGCTCTGTACAAAGTATGCCCTGGGGAGGCAAGTGGGGGCTGCATCCCAGAGCAGGGGGTGCCTCGTGTAGCTTGTCTGTTCAGAACAGACCCTGTTCCTCAATTCACACAAAGATGCTACAAACTAAGACTCAGGCCCACAGCCTCCTGGGCCCTCTCTGTGCACTCCCTGACATTGTTCTTAGCCTGTCATGGGGCCAGGGTTTGAGCTGGCCACTAGTGGGAGGGGGGTGACATCCTGGGTCAAGTCTCCTGGTACATGTTCCACTCTGCTCAAGCCTGCGTGCCCGAGGCCCTGTGCGGTGACCCGCTCTCACAAATACCTTTCATAAAAGCCCTGCTTGGTAGCCTTTGTTCATTTCCATGGCGTAAACGCTCCCAGCCTCCAGCCCACAACATGACCTCCAAGAATGAATGGCAGAGATACACACAATGGGCCGGCTCAGCACACTGCAGACCCCAGGTCTGGCACTGGAATGATGGCTCCCAGGCCAAGCCTAGGCGTGTGCCAAGTTGTGCTAAGTATAGAACAATAATGCCTCTGACATTTGCCTTGCAGTTAATATATGTCACCATGCTCTAAGTGCCAGGCATACACCTGCTCCATCCCTCAGTGACCAGCAAGGTAGGTGGTGAGGACACCAAGAAATCTGAGAGAGGCTGAGGTGCTGGCAGGGAGGACTTGCCCAGGCTGTCTGCCCTGTGCAGTGGGGAGCACCTCCCATCGTACACCCGCTTTTCAGCCCAGGTCACTATGGGCCTTGGCAACTGCCCACTGGGTTCCTGAGGGAGGCTGGTAAAGCTCAGAGCCCCAAGGCCCCCACATCTCCACTGAACTCACACCTAAAGCAAGCTTTGTGTCTGTCCCATGCAGCTGCACACCATGTACACAGCAGGTGCTCAATAAATGATCCCTGAAGGAGTGAGCTTGAGAATGACTCTGCCTTTAGTCCTGCTAAAGGTCCCCAAGTGTGACTGTGGACTCATGAGGAGAGGTGAGGTTGTAAGACCAAGGGCAGTAAGCACTCATCCCCTAGGCTGGGCATTCCACCCAGTCCTTCTGCAGGAAGGGGGCCATCCTTTTGCAGGAAGGCTGGTGGCCACGTCTCTCTGATGGAGGGCAAGGAGGGAGTCAGGAGTCTCTAGGGATGGGGGTCTGTGTCCATCACCTCCTGACCCCAGCCTTCAGTCCAGGCTTCCCAAAACAGATGAGCTGTTATTGGGAATGAGAGAAGTGAGGGAGTCAGGGCAGTCAGGGAGGCAGGGAGGCAGAGGAGGCAGGGAATTAGAAATAAGAGACAGATGATCAGAGAGGGGTGGGGAAAAGAGGGCCCAAGGGCTGACAGAGACCAAGACTTCACATGGCCTTAGACACGTGGAGCTGTGTGAGGTGCCCGGATACCTGGCATCAGGTGACAGGGCTTCTGTGGCTCCACCCCCATGGGAAGTACTGAGGGAGGCCTTAGGGCCTGCCTGCCTTGTTCCATTCCCAGCCAGACTGACTCTAGAGTGAGAAGACGGTCCGAAACTTCCTCAGGAGGTTAGTATCCAACCTCAGCATCCCAGAGAAGAGACTGAAGGGAAGAGGGTGCAGAATGGAAACACTGAGCTGCTGCTGGAAGACAGGACTGAGGCTGTCCCCTGGGACAGCACCCACCATTCACAGGCACCCACCATGGAGGCTGGCTGTGCCTTATTCTTATGAGGCATCCCACGCAGGGGACTGATGGGGACTGTGGTGCTCAGAGAGGTTGGGTTGCTTGCCCCGTTCAACACAGCAGATGCTTGGCTACAAAACCTGGGTTCTTACCTCTCCAAAAAGCCACCCCTACCTCTCTACCGGCCCAAACTGGAATCTTTTCCAAACAGCTCTGACTCAGTGAAACCCCAGCTGGCACAGGGCAGGGAATGACCCTGAGGTCCACACAACTGTCCCCTTCCCTCTTTCCCTCCAGGCAGCTTGGGTGGGCACCCTGCCCAGGACTCTCCACAGGCCCCAGGCAGCCAGCTGGTGGGCAGTGCAGCTGTGGGTCACTCACCTTCCCTCTTCCCTGGCATCCAGTGTCTGCTGGATGCTGGGCAGATCAGATGGGCAAGAACAACAGGGATGGGAGGAGCTGAGGCCCTGGGGTATACCCCAGAGCCTGGGTGACAACACGATCCTGCTGTGCACACCCAGCCTCTTTGGACACACAAGCTGCAGTCCTCAGTCTCCACCCCCACACTACAGGGAATCCTTCTGGGGTTTCACAAAGCCACCCTCTATCCTGGGCAGCTCAGGAGGAAAGCAGGCACCATCAGGTTCTGGCTGACCAGTTCTGCCTCACATTGCCCTAGCAACTCCTTCGAACTGGCCTGCCTGGCTCAGTTTACCCCTCTGTTAAACATCAAGGTAGAAACAAACCCCAGCACCCCCTGGAGCAGTGCAGGCTGCTGCTGGTCAGGCACCCAGAAGCCTTAACAACACAGGGCTCTTTCCTTTGGAGCAGTCTCTCTGGGCAACTGTGGGCCATCTGGTTGCTTCAGGGGCAGTGAGACTGGAGAGAGGGCAGAAGACTTGGAAAGACCCTATTTTGTCCTTCTGAGGCTTAGTGGGATCAGAGCTAGCCACTGTTCTCCAGCCTTATCCCAGTTCTAAGGAGGTCCTGAGCAACTACACCCTTCCTCATGTTCCCTGGCCTCGTGGCAGAGGTGGGCAGGAGAACCAGGCTCAGAGGCCAGGCTTACTCTGGCCAGCCGAGTCCAGGAAACCCTTCCTGGCAAGGGAATCTTACAGGAAACCCTCCAAAAGCTCAGAGGACTCTGGGTGGGGAAAAGATCCTAGATCTTTCTCCCCATAGGAGGTCCTGCCAGGCGAGGAGGTTGTGTTTAGGGAAGGTAAGTGCCTCTTCCTCTCTGTGCTTTGGTTTCCCTCTTTTAAAATAGACTGGCTCGTGATCTACAGGAAAGCTCCCTGAGGCCAATGGAGCAGATAGACGGTCTTCCCTGGGTTGTGGACCGGGGCTAGCCACCACACTGATGCAGGCCAGGCTCGCGGAGAGCTTAATTCTCCCTGCGTAAAGCCGCGGCCGACCCTGGCACACAGTAGGTACGCAGTCAGTGTAAGTTCCCCTGGTCGTGAAACGCAAGCGTCACGGAGCTGGCATGCTCCCGCGCACCGGCGGCCCCACTCCACCCAGCTAGCTTCCCGCTTCCATTGGGGTGTTTCTCCTACCTGGGATCGGCGGGCTGGGCCCCGGGCGCGGCTCGGAGGACTGCCTGGAAGCGCCTGGAGGTGCGGGGAACTGCCTGCCGCTCCCGCCGCCGAGTCTCCCCGCGTCTGCGGCGGCTCCGGGGTCACTGCGCACGGATCCTCCCGCGCGCTACGCCCCGAGCCGGGCTGGGCGCGGCCGGGAAAAGAGGCGCGCGGAGCCGGGGCCCCATGGGTGGGCTCCGAGGGCTCGGCGGGGCCTGGGTGCTGGGCGGGCTCCGGCTCGCCACCGCCGGCCCTGCCCTGCCCCGACACGGGGGACTCTGGTTGAGCCAGGTGCCCGGAGGCTTGAGAACGTCTGATGCGGGGTGTCCCCGCCTGGGGCTCCGCGCTGGGGGTGGAGAAGGGCGGTAGGATGAAGAAGCGGACCCTGGAGACTCCGGGGGGTGCGCGCCGGGCCACCTACGCTACCTTCTCCCCCGGTCCCAAATGGATGTCTGGGTGCGGGGTGGAGGGGCTTCTCCGGCTGCCCGCAGCTCCGCAGCTCGACCCGCGCGAGAGGCACAGCTGCTCACTCCTAGCCAGGCGCCGCAAGCTCCGCTCCGCTGCGCGCGTGTGGGAGGGAGCCTTGAACGCCGCCCCGACGCTCCGCAGCTCCAAGTTCGCCCCGAGCCGACGCCACCCCGCACTGCACCTCCCCTCCCCAGGGGAGGAGAAGTTTCTTGGTGGCCGGCTCCGCCCTCTGCCTCTCCCGCAGGCCAACGTGCGGCTGTGCAGGGTGAGCTCACGGGGTCCTCCCCTTCCCTGACCACACGCGCCCCCCCGGCCGCCGCTGCGTCCCGCGCCCACCTGCCCAGGCGCCCGCCAGCCGCGCGCCAACCGATCCTACTGCAGGGCGCCCGCGTCTGGCCCCCCGCGCCCCGCCCCCGCTGAGCTCGACCAATCAGCAGCCGGTCCCGGTGGCCGGCCCCGCCCCTCCCGCGCCCCTCCGGAGCGCTGCAGTCTGTAGCTCCGCGTGCCCCGACGCGTGGGGCCGGGGCCGCCGAGGGATGGCCGGAGAGTTCGGCCGCGCGCACCGTGACCGGAAGGCGGTACGACACGAGCCCGCGAGGCTGACGAATGCTCACGCACCTGTCCGCATGCCATCCCCGGCCGCGGGGACCCCCCCCCCTGTGCCCTCGTGGGTGTCCGCCGGGAGCTGTCGTTTCCTTCCCGCGGGGCACATGGGTGGCTCACGTGCAGCCACCTGGACCCCGAGTCACCTTGGCCTAGAGATGCAACCCCCGAGAGCACTGTCGGGGGAGTTCTACCCAGGCCTCGGATGTCCTGGGACACTGGCTCTCCGGGCCTGGGATGGAGCCCGAACTGTGCCATGTTAGGGAGCGCTTTGAACCAAACCAGACATCAGGCGTTCTGACGTTTCCACAGGCCACTTGTTACTTAATGTTTTAATCCTAGACCCAACAACTCATTAACACTTGTTCCTTACATGGGAAGCCCGTGTCCCCCGCCATAAATAGAAAGTTAAGTATAAAAAAATCCCGTGAAAACAAAGCAAGGCCTTTGTGGAGTCCAACTGGAGTCCGCCTGCCCCTCATTAGGGGAGGTGGATAAGGCCTGAAGGGGCTCAAGATCCATTTTGTCCTGGAGGGAGATGGGAAATATCCACCCTGGAAGAATGGATACTGTGTCCCTCCCTTCCTGGGCTATGGGTGTCTCCATTGTACCCCAGGCTCCGAGTGGGTGAGGAGTGGGCTCTTGTCTGCACGACAGAGAGAAGGATCTGGGTGAGAGATCTGTGTTCGCTCCGGTCTCTGTTGCCACCCAAATATTTCACCCTATATTTCAGAGAAATCTCCAGACCTTACTTATTTCATCTGTAAAGTGGGCATCATACCGTCAAGTTCACAGAGTGACAAAGTCACGAACATGGCCTTGGATTTGTAGTATAAAGTGGTCTGTTCCATCTAGCCTTAGATCATCTTGACATTTCCCAGGGAGAATCAACAGGTAAGGACTGGGATAGAGGAACCCCATGTTTAAGACATGTGTAGGCCTCAGAGGGACTAAGTAAGGGACATGCTCAGGATCAACAGCAGGCAAGCAACAGGATCCCAGCCTGATGCCCATTCTAGGAACTGGCTTCCCACTGAGCTTGAACAGAGCCTGTGAGCTTGGCAGCGGGAGGCAGGCAGGATGGCACTCCAGCCAGAAGGCTAGGGTCAGAAGGACTCAGGCCACTGGGCCAGCTCCCCACCCTCCTGTAGAGAAAGTGGCAGGCAGCCAACTCCCGGCTGGCGCACGAACCCAGGACTTGGGCTCTTAGCCCAGTCCTCCACCCTGAGTGGGTCACGCCCCACTAACCAGATCCAACAGTGCAGGCCCTGCACGTCGCGTTGGATTGCCCTAGTAAACCCACCTGGCCCTGCTTCTGCCTGGTGTAAAATGGCTCAGTCAACAAGCAGGTACACAGAAACTATCCACTTCATGTGGCCACAGTGCCCTGCCCACATGTACCCATTTACCTATCCTCCCATGCACCCAGGTGTCTCCATATGGACCACTTGTTATGGCACCTCCCTCTTACTGGCCTACCTGTGGTCCCCATCCCCCATAAGCCATGATCCCCTTAAACCATTTTTTTTTTTTTTTTTGAGACAAGGTTTCCCTGTAGCCCCAGCTGGCCTGGAACTTGCTATGATGTAGACCAGGCTGGCCTTGATCTCACAGAGATCCAACCATCTGTCTCTGTCTCCCAAGAGTACTGGGATTAAAGGCATGTGCCACCATGCCCAGCTCTTAAAACCTTTTCTTAAATATTTTATTATTTTTATTTGAGGTGTATGAGTGTTTTCCTGCATGCATTTAAGTACACCTGTGCATGTGATGCCTGCAGAGGGCATTGGATTCCCTGGAACTGGAGTTACCAATGGTTGTTAGTCACCATGTGGGTGCTGGGAACGGAACGTAGGTGCTCTGTAAGAGCAGCCAGTGCTCTTAACCTTTGAGCCATCTCTCCAGCTCCCATTAAACCTTTTCTTAAAGTGCTACCCTTGCTCAGAGATGTTCAACAGCTCCCATTACTGGAGATATAAAAATCTGTCAGTCTGTGGGAAATAAAATGACTTCCAGGTCCCCAAAGGAGTCGAACTTCCCTGCTCCAGGCTTTGTGTACACGGTTCCCTCCGTCTCTATTTCACCTGGTTGAACACATCCTTCACAGCTGACTCCTGACTGTCCTAGCATTACAATGGTGTGAATCTGCTGCTCCTCTCAGACCCACCCCTATCAATGCCTGGTTCTTTAAACCTCATTTCTTTGTCTATAAAGTGGGTGTTACAACAGTAGTAACCTCGAGAGGCACTGGATTAAAATAAACCATAGAGTGGCCTGCGCCCCTGATTTCCTCTGTATTCCGTGTCTACTCTTGCCTCACATTTTGGACACATGCTTCATCGCTCTGTGTGCGTGTGAGCACCTGGAAGTGGAGACCGGGCCTGATTCATCTCTACTCCACATGGTTAAGGGCCGATCTTGTTCGCTGGTTTTTAATAAATACTTACTGAATTTAGCTCAGCTGGATGCACAAGTTCTCCTCGGAGACTAAGGGAAGGGGGTTGGGGAACACACAGGGAGAGGCAGTTTCATTTAGTCCTCCCAACAGCCTCACTTACAGAAAGGGGAAACTGAGGCTTCAGGACGCCCGTTCCAGACCAGTAGCTGATAAGAGGTTGAGTTGGGATCTGAGATAAACATCCCCAAAGGGAAATAAGTCATGGATCAACTGTGCCATGCTCTCCCAACTGCTTTTCTAAAACACTGCTCCTAATCCAGGCATACCATCTTGGGGAACTTTAAAAGAAAGCAGCGCTCAGGCACCAGCTCCGGACCGCTGATTTTACTGCTCTGGCATTGGGCCTGGGCAGATTCCCCCAGCGATCCCAGCCAGCAGCCAGATTTTCGGGAGCAGCAGTCTCTGGATCAGCCTTGCTGGAGATGCAGAATCTAGCCCCACCCACAGGCCCACAGTGAGGCTCCGCCCCCCCGCCCCCCCCCCACCCAGTGGTCTTGGACACATGCCCGAGCCTGAGACTCTCTGGCCAAGAGTAGAGTCACATGGCCCAGCCTTCTAGTTTTGCAAAGATCTGGTTTGTGGTTTGAGCAAAGCCTCAAACACAGGGCTGAACTCCCTGCACAGTGCTCTCTCCTGACTGGGCAGAAGGGTCAGCTTTGAACTTGGGCAGAGGTAGATGTGTCACCAGCTGCCCCAGCTTGACTGGAACAGACTGACTAGAGAGGCACCAGGTCGGATGCCATCTGGACGAGAGCAGCTGGCTGAGTGGACTCACTATGCTTGGCCTCAGGGTAGAGTAGCGAGGAGGCAGGAATGCTCTGCACTAGGGTCGGCAGGAACACTTTGTGCCCTTTCCTCACCTGACCACTTTCATCCTTGCTAACTGAACAGGAACTCTCCCTGGCTCCTACCCACACTGCCCTATGAGCCTCATGTTCCCTACAAACCCCAACTTAGTCAGGAGGCTGCCAGTTAGGCAGAGCATTGCTGTGTGGCCCTTGAGTCAGGTACTTAACTTCTCTGTTCCTTGTTTCCCAGCACTTTTGCTCCTCGTTGCCTGTGTGGTCTTGTGCTCCCTGAGCCCTCCTGAGTCCTCTTTATTCTCAAGAGCCAGGTGTGGTAGGAAAGGCACAGACTTGGTCACCTAAATTCAGGCTCTTGCCTTTCTTCCTGTCTTGGCCTTGGCAAGCTAGTTCTCTCTGCACCTCGATGGCCCCATCTGTCAAATGAACACTCATTCATTCCATCCCTCAGTCAATCAACAAACACACTGGACTGGACTAGCTGCCAAGCAGCAGTTCAGAAAATGTGACCCAGCTCTGAGAGCCCATAGTCTAGCAGAGAGCCTGGGATCTCTGGAAGGCCTTGGAACTCCCAAGACTAGAGGCAGGGGACAGGACCTACAAACGTTGGAAGAGAAAGAATGGCCTGTTTGAAAAAGCAAAACACTCCCATGTTGAGTGGGAAGCAGAGAATACAAAATGAGCCTCTGGGAAAAGCAGAAGGAAGACATGCCCAGCACACAGTACTCGGTACACAGTAGGTACTCAATAAATGAGTAGTCCTTCCCTGATCCAAGGGCTGAACCCCCAGCCCAAGCTTGACAGAGCGTTGTGGACCATGGGGAACCTGTTCCTCTCTTGCAGCATACACAGAGGGCTCACTGCCCCAAACGCTGGCTGCCGAGCAGAGATGGAGGCTTACCAGTGACCCCACATCTGCCAGAAATAGAATCCAATGTTCCTGGAAGCTAATAACCACTGCCTTGCTTTATTTTCTTTCCTTTAGTGGTCTCCTGCTGCTGGGGTTGTGTGAAGAAGAGGAGGCACTGGGGAAGTGAGGTAGAGGCAGAGGAGCCCTGTGGAGCCCCATGCAAGAACAGCCTGGCAGAACACACCAAACATGGGCATGCCGCCCTGAGGCTGAGCCCAGGTGGGTTTACGGCAGTTCACAGCATGATCCCACCACTTACTGTGGAAGTTCATCTGCAGATATGGCCACCTATCCACGGTGCCTCTGGTGGGGAGCTGGAGC